GCCCGCCAGGTGCTTCGAATGCACGGGACAGTTCCAGGAGGACCGGGGTGTACCAGTGCCCCTCCAATGTGGTCTGCAAACTAGTCCTGGGCTGGGACGAGACAATACAAACATTGAGAGTAAACACTTGGAAATACTTCTATTAACTTGACATGGCTGTGACGTCCAGCCATTTAATTCTTCTTAAAAATACTTTTGTTGCATTTTACAAAATCTCTCTATAGTAGGTTCTTAAAAAAAAAAAAAAAGAACAGAGGGGAATTCAAGGAAGTTGGTGCTTGTGGGGAAAGATGGAAAAAGCAAATGAGACTTTATTTTCTTTATTTAAAAATGATACACAAAAGCACAAGCAAAGAAAAACACCATCTGCTTCTCTTCTGAGACGAAACTGCCTGTTTCCAAGAGGAGCCTGCCACGGCTGCAGCCATTTGCACGGGTCGCTACCAACAGCAGTGCTTGCTGGTTTGCTGGGAGTGGGAGAGTTTGAATTCAGCCTGGAGGGATAAGTAGGAGCTAGACTCTTGTCTTTAGAGATGGGGGTTCACTGTGGGTTGGTTGGTTGGTTGGTTTCACTGTAGGTTTTTTTAAAGTTGGGAAATGGCACGATCAGATCTGTGTTTTGAAATGAGTGGGGAGACCCCTGGAATTGTCTGGTCAAAAGGCGACTGTAGCTTAGGGTGGTGGTAATGCTGGAGATGAGGAGAAGCTGAAAACCAAGATTTGTCTTTTGTCCTCACTTTTGTTAAAAGTGAAGTTTGAATACATGTGTCTGGAGGTGAGGGAGAAAATTACCTCATTCCAAGGTTTGGCTTTGTTTCCTGTATGTCTTAATACTCAAGGTTTTCGACATAATCAAGTTTCTGTGCTGTTTCTTCCAACGCAGGACAGGTAAATGGTCGCCTCACTTGCACAGCTTCTGTCTCACAGTGCGCTGTGAGCTGCGTGCATTTCCCTTTGATGCCCCCTGAGCCTGGAGAGCATCGGTCCAGCCTCATTTACAATAGAAAATCTGGCCATTGACTTTTTTTTTCATTCTGGACCTTAGAACCTAGGAAAACAGTTTTAATTTTATCTCAACAAAAAAATTAATCTGAATATTTAACGAGCTTTACTGAAAATATGATTTTCCCAGAAATACACAGGTATAAAACTTAGCAATTATACATTTAATATTATTTATTACATATGACATGTACCTGCTCATATGACTGCTAATTTTTGGTAATTAAATTCAATTTGTATGTATTGAGGAGACTTCTCAGTGCCTGGCATGGTTTAGGCAGTAATTCCCAGATTCTGATCTTTTTTTTTGTTGTTCATTGATTTGTTTTTTATGTATGCATGTATGTATGTATGTATGTATTTATTTTAATGTTTTATTGATTATGCCATTACAGTTGTCCCATTTCCCCCTTCATTCCCCTCCACCCTGCACACCCAGTCCCCCCAAGCCCCCCTTTACTTCATTTCCATGTGTTACAAGTTCTTTAGATTCTATATTTCCCATACTATTCTTACCCTCCCCCCTATCTATTTTCTACCTACCGTCTATGCTGCTTATTCTCTGTATCTTCTCCCCCCTTCTCCTCCTCCCACTCCCCTGTTGCTAACCCTCCATGTGATCTCCATTTCTATGGTTCTGCTCCTGATCTAGCTGTCCTCTTAGTTTGCTTTTGTTTTAGGTGTGTTTGTTAATAACTGTGAGTTTGCTGTCCTTTCACTGTTCATATTTTTTATCTTTTTTTCCTTAGGTAAGTCCCTTTAACATTTCATATAATAAGGGCTTGGTGGTGATGAACTCCTTGAATTTGACCTTATCTGAGAAGCACTTTATCTGTCCTTCCATTCTAAATGAAAGCTTTGCTGGATAGAGCAATCTGGGATGTAGGTCTTTGGATTTCATGACTTGGAATACTTCTTTCCAGCCCCTTCTTGCCTGTAAGGTCTCTTTTAAGAAATCAGCTGACAGTCTGATGGGAACTCCTTTGTAGGTGACTGTCCCCTTACCTCTTGCTGCTTCTAGGATTGTCTCCTTCATTTTAATCTTGGCTCATGTAGTTATGAAGTGCCTTGGTGTGCCTCTTCTTGGGTCTACCTTCTTTGGGACTCTCTGAGCTTCCTGGACTTCCTGGAAGTCTATTTCCTTTGCCAGATTGGGGAAGTTCTCCTTTATTATTTGTTCAAATAAGTTTTCCACTCGTGGCTGTTCCTTTCCCCCTTCTGGTAACCCTATAATTTGGATGTTGGAATGTTTAAAGATGTCCTGGAGGTTCCTAAGCCTCTCCTCATTTTTTTAAATTCTTGTTTCTTCATTGTTTTCTGTTTGGTTGTTTTTTTCTTCCTTCTGGTCCACTCGATTGATTTCAGTCCCAGTTTCCTTCCCATCACTATCATTTCCCTGTGCATTTTACTTCATTTCACTTAGTGAAGCCTTCATTTGTTCCTCTAATTTGTGACAAAAATTAACCAGTTCTGTGAGCATCCTGATCACCAGTGTTTTGAACTGTGCATCAGATAGATTGGCTATCTCTTGGTCGCTTAGAAGTATTGGCTCTGGGGATTTGAGCTGTTCTTCTTGCTGAGCCATAATGTTTTAGTCTCTTTGCGCCTGTTAGGTATGAGGTGCGGAGCCTTAGATGTTCGCCAGGGCAGGGCCACCCATGTTACTGGGTTGTGATGCTGTATGTGGGGACAGGGTCGGAGAGGAGCATGGCATTTTTCTGCTCTCTCTCAGATTTCTATTCCCTCTACCACTTCCCACAACAAATTGGGCTCTTCTGGTGCTGGTTACCGGGTGGATGGGCAGGCTTGTATATGTTCTAGGACCCTGTGGGTCTCTCCAATGAACTCTCTGTGAGCCCGGGAACCTCTCCCAGCACCTCCACCCCCGAAAGGTTTTCCACCACTGAAAGGTGCTTTTAGGCTTTATTTCCCAGCGCTGGGGCCCTGGGTTGCACAGTCTGTCTCACTGCTCGCTCCTTTGCCTGGTTTATCTGAGTGTGAATGTGTGACCGCGGTCAGCCAGCTGCCTTGTGCCCTCACTGGGTCCACCCGTTGCCACCCTGTGCCTGGGATCTGCCAACTGCTACCTGTGCTCCTGGGTCGGTTCGACCGCTTTTTCCTGCTGGGACCCCACTCTGCCAGCTGCTGACTCTGCCCCTCTTATTGGTCTGGATGAATGGTTCATTGTTGTCAGACGTCGGTACAGTTCAATTTTCTCTCAGTTCTGATTGCACTGGTTTCTGCATCTTTATTGTTCATAAACTTGGTTGTGCGAGGAGGTACAGTATTCCCACCTACACCTCCATCTTGGCCGGAAGTCCAGATTCTGATCTTAACTAACCAGTAATATTTCTTATGCAACTGGGAAGTCTAACCTAGGGCACCTCCTTTTTATTTTATTAATTAAAAGCCTATAAAACCAAATTAAGAATTTTTATCTTTACTATCACTATAAATTCAAAAATCTGAGAAACAGTTAATACCAAAAACACCAATGGATAAGAAATAGACAAGAAAATACTCTAGCTCTGGCCAGCATGGCTCGGTTAGTTGGGCATCATCCCTCAAACTGTCCCTCAAAGGTCACTGGTCCAGTTTTGGTCAGGGCACACGGCGGGGTTGCAGGTTTGGTCCTGGTCAGGGGCCTACAGGAGGTGACTGATCAAACAGATGATGTTTCCTTCCCACAGGGATGTTTCTTTCTCTCTCTTTCTCTCTTCCTTCCCCTGTCTCTAAAATCAAAAATAAAGTAAACTTAAAATAAAAGATTCTGTTTTCTCCATTAGTTTTTTTTTAACTTTATTTATTTTTATTGTTTTTTGAGTATAGTTGTCTCCATTTTCCTGCCTCCTCTCTCCCCTCTGGTAGTTTTGTTTTTGTTTTTTTTTAATCCTCACTGGAGGATTTAAATCCTCACCTGAGGATTTAAAAATCAGTGAGCAGGACATGGCCACAGAGGGAGGGAAGAGACGGGGAGAGAGAAATAGAAACACCAGTTGAGAGAGAAACATCTCTCAGTTGCCTCACGTGCCCTGACTGAGAATCAAACCCAAGACCCTTTGGTTTACGGGTTTACACTTCAACCAACTGAGCCACACAGGCCATGGCTCTTCATTAATTTTTAAAAACCAATTTTACTGGAGGCATAATATACATGTGATCAAATGCATGCGTATTAAGTGAGGAAAAAATAGGAAGAACAGAGTCTTAGAACACAGAAGTGATTAAAACCTAACATAGTTTTTGAAAAATTCATACATCTCTTCTTCTCTTTTCACCATGGATTGGTGAGAGGGCCATCAGGACTGGTCTGCAGGAACAGTTTGGGAGCTGCCATGCTAGGGGTGGCTGAGAAAGAGGAACTTTACTGAAAACAATGTAGGGTAGGAAAAGTCAGGTTCCCTCTGCCCTCGTACATGCTTGGCTGACACCCCCAAACATCACCGTAATAAAATATATTAACAGGTAAAAAAAATCATTACATGAGTACCATGGGAGTCCCACAGGAGGAGACTCAGCAGACAGCCCAGGTGACTGGGGCTAATCCACCCTCCTGGCTGAGGGGAGGGCTGGGGGTCTGGGCTGCATTTCACGGGAGGGTGAGGACAGGAAGTGTTTGGTCACCAGTGGCTTCCCTGCCTTGCAGGTAAGTCTGTCCTGTAAAACGTTATCTCTGCTGATAGCCCTACTCCTGGTGCAGGCCACCTTGCTGATGCAAATCTCCCTTCCAAGAGGGTAATGCTCAGGAATCAGAGCTTCTCCAAAGTCTGCCGTTTCTCAAAAATAATAAATATGCCAAAGAGGCATTTTCAGGCTGGCAAATTCTGCTGCCCGCTGACCTAGAAAATGCAGAGCTAAGACTGAGGAGCCCTGCAAGGGCAGTGAGAGGGGCGGTCACCAGCTGAGGCACCCAGCTGTGGGGTGGAGGGGAACCATTGTTTTGTATTCATGTATTCTGTCGTCACCTCATACTAATCTACTTTTTTAACACTGTTTAGCCTATCAGCTTATCACCGTGGTGATTGCGGCAGCAGGAGGTGGGCTGCTGCTCATTCTAGGCGTGGCGCTGATTGTCACCTGCTGCCGGTGAGTGCTGGAGTTCGCACCGTAATTCTGTTTCTTTGGGTGTGCTGTGCAAGGGCCAGTTTTTACTCTTAAGGTATATTTGGGGTGGTGTACTACCCAAATCGAAAGTACGTGACTGAACCATTAAAAATGGTGAAAAGGAAGTTCATGATAGGTAGTGCCATTGGAGGAAGAAAAAGACAGCAAATAGGACTTCATTTTCTTTACTGAAAAGAAATAGCCAAAAGCACAACAAGCAACCAAAAAGATAGGTTGGACTGCATCAAAATTAAAAACATCTCTGCTATGTTGGAAGAAGAAATTCTTCCTCTGCCCTTCTAGGTTCTTTGGCTGGTCTAATAATCACATCAACATAGGACAGGTGAATGGGGTTAATTATGTGTGTAGGGGGTGGGCGGCGGCATGTGAGAATATGGAACACACAGGCAGTAGGGCGGTTGAGGCTTGTGTGCCGTCCTGAGCCAAGAGAAAGGGGTGAGGGCCTGGGACTCCAAAGGGGAGGAAGGCAGTTTACAGGGAGATGGAAGAGCAAATGTTTTATAAACCAGCATTGGCCGTGCCACGCCAAGACAATGGGACACAGAGAGGACTTTGCACAAACAGGCCCCGCTGAGCGCCCTCACAGTTTTCCACACTTAGCCCATACTCCTTGTAGTTATTTCTGGAGACAGCTCTCTTTCTGGACCAAGCCCTCTACCTAAATTCTTTTCGGCGTTTAAAGGGAGGTATAAAAGCTCTTCCTGAGTCTTTTGGGCCTTGACGGTCTTTAGCTCAGAATGGTCTGCGTGCCAAAGTGGCACATTCTGGTGAGACCGAACCTGAGCCCTTCAGCTTCAAAAGTCGCTATCAAGAAAGTGAAAAGACCTGGCTGGTGTGCTCAGTGGACTGAGCGCGGGCCTGGGAACCAAGCAACCACGGTTCGGTTCCCAGCAGGGGACACACAAGAAGCAACCATACATTGATATTTCTCTTCCTCTCTCCTTCCTTTCCCCTCTAAAGATAAATAAAGAAAAAAAAAGAGAGTGAAAAGACAGTCTACAAAATGGGAGGAAGTCTTTGCAAATAAATAAATCATATGTCTAATAAGGGACCTGTATCTAGAATACGTAAAGAATTCTTACAACTCAATAATAAAAAGACAACTCAAATTAAAAATGGGCCAAGAACTTGATTAGATATTTCTCCAAAGGTGGCATACAGAGGTCTGGCAGACACATGAAAGGATGCTCCCCATCAGTAGGCACCGGGAGAGGCGGTCAAAACCACCATGAGACACTGCCTCCCACCTCCTAGGGTGGCTGTTTTAAAAACAATTTAAAAGCCAGGAAACTACAAGTGTTGGTGTGAGGATGTGGATAGAACACTAACACACTGCTGTGGAGACAGAAGACGATGCAACCGCTTTGAAAATGTCGGGCAGCTGCTCAGAAAGCCAGACAGAGTTGCCCCTTGACCCAGTACTTTCTCTCTTACGTATATACGAAAAGAAATGAAAACTGTCCACACAGAATCACGTCCATGAATGTGCTAGTAGCATCATTCATAATAGCCAGAGGTGAAAACAACCCCACTACCCATCAGCTGATGACTAGATAAGCAAAATGTGACATAGCCACACAATGGAATATGTATATATTTTTTCCCATCCCCGTCATACTGCATTTCCAGATGAAACCTCAAGTTCTATCACACAGACACTCTCTATGTGACCCTGAGTTTTGCACGAGGGAATTTAGTTATTCTTTTTTTTTTAATTTTTATTTAGTTATTTTTCAAGTACATTTTTGTCTATTTTTCCCATCCCAGCCCCCCCACCCTGTCTCCCCCCCTCTCCCATTCCCCTCCCAGTCCTCATCCCTGTGTCTTTCATACTTGTTCCTCAAAATCCCTCCCCATTTTTCCCTTAAATTTCCTTCTCTCTCACAATGGAATATATTATTCAACCATAAATAGGAATGAAATACTGATACATGCTGTAATGTGCATGAGTCGTGAAAATATGCTAAATGAAACAAGCTGGTCACAAAAGACCACTTTTGCATGATTCAGTTTACATGAAATATTCCAAATCAGTGAATCCAGTAGAGACAGAAAGCAGAAGCGCGGCTGCCTGGGGTTGGCTGGGCAGGGGCGAGGTGAGAAGTGATGGCTGAGGAGTATGGTTTCTCTCTGGGGTGATGAAACGGCTCTCAAATTGATCGTGATGGTTGTTGCACAACTCTGAAGGCACTAAAAACCACTGATTATATAACAAAACTTTAAATGGACAAATTAACAACCAAAACAACAAAAATGAGAGGGGTTGCCTGAAATATTTATTTGAGCGTATAGTGAAGTTGTAGCCGGCACGTGGGATGAACAGAGACTCAGCAGTGCGCTTGGCTCCGGGCATCCTAGGTGCCCAGGGGGATTGGGTTTCTCCTGGGAGAGGAGAAAAGGCAGAGTGGTTCCCCTTCTCTGTGAGTGTTTATTCAGATAAGGAAACATTATGACCTGTGATTTTGATGATAATAAATGGCAGGAATTATCCTGGTATAACAGATGAAGGAAACCTACCAAAATAGCAGGTTCTTTCTTCCACTGCTCACGTGAAGGACATTTGAAGATCTCCCCTACCCCAGTAAGGCTGCCGAGAGAACTGCCCGTTCGGGAATGCAAGCCTCGTGGTATAGCCTTTGCCCGTCATGTATGGAGTTGCTACCAAGCAACCAAAGATAAAGAGTGTGAGTGAAAATAAAAGTCTGGTGCCAAGACTATGAACTAGAAAGATAAAACCTGAGTGTTCAACAGGACATAAGCCTCCTGTTCGCTAGGTACCCTGTACCAGGTAGTGTAGCCACGTGGGGAAGGAGCCTGTGACTTTTCGTCACTGGAAAGACAGGCTAGTTGTGAATAAGGTGAGTGCTTGTTAGAGACCAGATGCCCCCTTCCCAGGGGCAACACAATGGCAGGCCTGTTCTGAACTTGCAGGAGGGACAACGCCTAAGTCACGTGCTGGACATTTGGTTTTATGACCTTGAGTTATTTCGGGTTTTCCCCAGAAAATTTTCTTATAGGCAAATGAGCTAGAAGGAAGGAACTTCGGGTTATCTTACCCAGGACAAACAGGAGTACAAGTGCCTGTTAGAGTAGATGAGTCACATGTGCCCACAGGTTCCAGTGAGCTGTCACAAGCAGGGAACTTGTCCCTGGCCCAGTGGCCTGAGAATACGTGTAGGTGTAGAAATAGGCAGGCTTTCGTGCAAACAAAACATTCTGTTTTTATGGTTTGTGAAGTCGCTTCTGTGATAAAAGAGCACTAGCCTGGGGGAGCTGGAAGGCCTGGTTCTAGTCCTAAGCTTTGCTAAAAGCCAAAGGCGGTTGGGGAACAAGTTGCATCTCTTCTCCAGGCCAGAGCTCCTGTCTCAGTCGATCTGTGTGGGGTCTAGAAGCCCCCGTGTAAATTCTGATGCTCAGGCAGGCCGGGAACCAGGGGACTAAAGGCCTAACAGCCCCAGTGGCCTTTCACCTTTGGCTCCGGGATCCCCGGCTGCCCCCAAGATGCTCTTGTCTCTGTTCCTGGGAGATTCTGAGTTTGCTCATGGTAGCTGGCCCTCAGGGTGGAAGACTTTTTTGCATCTTTTCTTGCACCTAAATGCCATTTTTACTTGTTTGGGGCAAATACTAAAAAAGAATAACAACAATAATAACCTTCCTCAGTGGGCAGCTACAAAGAGATACAGTGGCAGCTTTAGGTCGGAATTTACCTTGTAAATTACTAGCTGGTGCTTTCACAAATATCATTTCTTTACAAAACTCATTCATTCATATCTTTAAATATTTTTCACCCCACAGAAAGAATAAAAACGATATAAGCAAACTCATCTTCAAAAGTGGAGATTTCCAAATGTCCCCATATGCTGAGTACCCCAAGAACCCTCGCTCACAGGAATGGGGCAGAGAAGCTATTGAAATGCATGAGAACGGAAGTACCAAAAACCTCCTCCAGATGACGGATGTGTATTACTCGGTGTGTATTGCTGTGTCTAGGGTCACCTCGGGCTCAAGCTTCCACTGAGCATTAAAGGGATTCTGCTTCGCTGTAGGGAAATCACTACAGCTGGTTAAGAGTTAAAGAGAATGATGGCCTAAGCCTCTTATTCACATAGTTTAATATTCAATTCACTTATGATCTGTTTGCATGGAATTTATTAATTTCGACATTGAGATACAAAGGCCTTTTCCATAGAGCACGTTACTTTTACAGGGTTGCAGCAGTAACTCTCTGGTTACTGACCTTGCTTTTAAGTTATAGGATTGGATACTAAAAACAGAGAAAGAATTTGGTGATACGTAGCCTTTGGCCCTTTCCTTTTTTATCTCTTGTCTGCCTCACTTTACCTCCTGTGGTTGCATAGTTGAAACTGAGGGGTTGGAGAAAGGTACAGAGAGAACAACTCAGTGTCCCCCTCAACACTTCTCGGAGGTTTAGATTAGATAATCAGTAGGTGTTTAATAATTTACTACCACCAGTCCTGCACTCCGTTACTTGGAGAGACAGGAGACCTCCTTGAGCCTTTGCTTCTTCTGTCCCACGCTGAATAATCCATGTCCTAGTCCCATGCACTGCTCAGTTCGCTTCACGTTGCACTGCGTCAGCCATAGAGCAGACACATACGGAAATACCTGAGCTGAAAAATAGATGTCAGATGACTTCTCGTGCCACATGGAGCTGTTTGTGCTATAGCAATAAACGTGAAACCTTGCCCTGTAGGGACTTAATAGCAATAGGCAATGCTGTTACAGAAACTGCAACCCCTCTGGTTGCTATGGGGATTAACCGTGATGGTTCAGACTTTGGATGGGAATGGCAAATGGAAGGGCAAATGGCTTCGTGGTAAGAAAGCCATTGTTTCTATGGACTCTGAAAAGTTTAAACCGGGAGGAAGAACAAGAAGTTCTAGGGAAAAGATAAACAGACAGAAACTTAGCTCTAGTTCACATGGGTCTGTTGATATTTCTGCACAAGGGGTTTGTTTTATTCTCTGCCAGGAAAGTCTTTTTGCTCTAATAACTGCAGCCATAACGAAGCAGGTGTGTTACCCAGGAGTGACCGCACACTCACGGCCTTTGTGGGGTGTCCTCAACCCCAGCATGGTTTCACAACGCAGCAACAAACAGGCCTGCAGTTTGGCAGGACCCGACTGTGTATTTCCGTGGAATTAGCTAAAGAGTTGCCATAAATAGATACAGATAAGAACTGAAATGAACCTTGACTTCATTTCAAAAATAGGCTGAGTACGCTGTGGAAGTGGAGACTAAGCTATGGCATGAAGCTGTCACCTGGGTGGGAGCACTGCCACTCACGGTGGTCTCAGGTGTACGTTGTGTTTTCCTAGAATTCGCATTTGTTACACACAATATCTAGTGTTTTATTTCTGCCAGGCAGGCATTATCCCCTGGTGGCTACAAATGAGGGCCTCCTTGAAGTAGCCCTGTCATTCCCTGGGGGCTTCTTTGGCACATCAGATAGGTAGGCAAGACCCACAAAGCTGGGACATGGTTAGAGGCACCGAGAATTGCTGTGGGCCTCCTGCTGGGGAGTCATGTGACCTTCCACACAGCTGAGTTCAGCTAATGCCAGAGAGGATTTAAAGCTCTTGTGCTCCATAGTGAAGACACTTTTTTAAAAGGTCAAGCTAAAAATCCAGTCAAGATGGAGGTGTAGGTAAACACAGCTCACCTCCTCCCACAACCACATCAAAATTACAATCAAACTATACAACCACCACCACTCAGAACTGTTGTTAAATGGAAGTCTGACAACTATGGAATTAAAGAAACCACATCCATCCAGGCTGGTAGGAGGGACAAAGATTCAGAACACATTGGTTCCACACCCACATGTGGTGGATAAAAATTCAGGAGGAATATCTTGGGAGCATGGAGTCCCAGCCTCCCACCAGGGTTCCAGCGACAGGAAGATAACTCCCCATAACTTTTGTTACAAAAACCAGCAGGGATCGAGTGAATGGAAGAAACTTCTGGAGTCCCAAGCAGTTCCTCTGAAAGAACTTGCACAGGGACTACTCAGACTCACTTCCTCTGAGCTCCAGCACCAGGGTAGCAGCTTGAAAGGCACCAGTGGCAGACAGGGAGGAACTGAGGTGTCTGAGATCAGGCGAGAGCTGGCGGACAGCTTTCTCCCAGACAGACAGGTGGGCACAAGCCATTGTCCCTTTTCTGAACCTTCTCTCACAGACCACAGACCAGGCAGGTGGGTACCATATCTGAGATTCCATCAACCTGGATAATACTGTTTGCCCTGCCCTAGAGATTCCCTGAGACTCCATCTCACCCAACTGACAGGCTCACCGAAGCTGTTAACAGTGACTTTTCCATATGAATGGCTGGTCTAGGCTCATATGTTACAAATTCCTAAATCCTCTCAAGCAAGCAACAGCCAGCCTCAGTGAGCTCCCAGCTCTCATACCTCTTGCTAAGTGGCCCCAGGCCTGGCACTAGCAATTGCCAGCCTAGACTCACAGGTTGTCTTTGCCTTGGAATCTTCAAGCCCAGCACAAGTAGCAGCCATCTCAGATTGCTTTATAGTTCATACAAGTGGGTGCTTTGAAAAGAACACAGGTGGGGGCTGCCTTTGTCTGCACTATGTGGGAAGCCATGCTGGAGCACCAGTACCTACCCCTGCACAGCTGATCCCCCAGGGAGGGCGGATGTTGGTGATAAGTGATCACAGCCAGTACTTGCAGCTGACTGGCCTGGATAAATCCCTTCCATTGAGTTGCCAACAGTCATCAAGGCTCAATTACAAGAGGAGGGTATATACTCAGTCCACAGGAAGGGTGCACCTTGGTACCCAGCTTGGGTGATAGGGGAGGCTATGCCACTGGACCTTACAGGACACCTATTATATTAGGCCACACTACCAAGACACAGAGTCAAAGCAGCTCTACCTAATACATAGAAACAAACTTGGGAAGGCTGCCAAAATGAGGCAACAAAGAAACATGGCCCAAATGAAAGAACAGATCAAAACTCCAGAAAAAGAACTAAACAAAATGGAGACAAGCAATTGGTCAGAGGCCGAGTTCAAAACACTAATTATAAGGATGCTCATGAACTTAGTGAGGACCTCAACAGCATAAAAAAGATGCAGTCAGAAATGAAAGATACACCAATTGTAATAATGAATAATTTACAGGGAACAACAGTACAGTGGATGAAGCCAAGATCACATCAATGACTTGGAACATAAGGAAGCAAAGAACAGCCACGCAGAACAAGAAGAAAAAAGAATACAGAAAAATGAGGATAGTGCAAGCAGCCTGTCAGACAACTTCAAGCTTTCCAATGTTTGCATCATAGGAGTACCAGAAGAAGAAGAAAAAGAGCGAGTAATTGGAAATCTATCTGGAAAAAAAAAATGAAAAAAACTTCCCTAATTTGGTGAAGAAAGTAGACATGCAAGTCAGGAGGCACAGAGAGTCCCAAACAAGTTGGACCCAGAGAGGCCCGCATCAAGACACATCATAATTAAAATGCCAAAGGATAAAGATAAAGAGAGAAATTTAAAAGCAGGAAGAGAAAAGCAGTTAGTTACCCACAAAGGAGTTCCCATAAGACTCTCAGCTGATTTCTCAAAAGAAACCGCAGGCAAGAAGGGACTGGCAAGAAGTATTCAAAGTGATGGAAAGCAAGGACCTGCAACCTATATTACTCTATCCAGCAAAGCTATCATTTAGGATGGAAGGGCAGATAAAATACTCCCCAGACACGGTAAAGCTAAAGGAGTTCATCATCACCAAGCCATTATTATATGAAATATTAAAGGGACTTATCTAAGAAAAAGAAGAAAAAAACTACAAACATTGCAATGACAACAGACTCACAAATATCAACAATTGAATCTTAAAAACAAAAACAAACTAAGGAAACAACTAGAATAGGAACAGGATCCCAGAAATGGAGATCACATGGAGGGTTATCAGCTGGGAGGGGAAGGTAGACAATGGGGGAAAAGGTACTGGGAGTAAGAAGTATAACTGGTAGGAACAAATAGGCAGAGGGAAGTTAAGAACAGTATAGGAAATGGAGAAGCCAAAGAATTTATATGCACGACCCATGGACATGAACTAAGGGGAGCATTGCTGGGTGGATGGGGGGTGCAGGGCAGAGGGGGGTGAAGGGGGAAAAATCAGGACAACTGTAATAGCATAATCAATAAAATATAATTCAAAATGTAAGAAGGTCAAGCTAATAATCAGATAATAATAAATCTTGATAATAATAATTAACACAGAGTTTTTTCCTATGTTGGTCTAAGATCGCTCGAAGTTTTTCCCATAAAGAGACAGCTGGGGGAAGGTACTGACTTCTGCATCAGACCTCACTCTACTATGTATTAGCTGCCTCCATCTGAGGTTTATTAAAGTGCAACATTTTTTTTAAAACTATAAATATAAACCATTAATAATAAATTGAATTTATTTTCTTTTCTCTTTGGCCACCAGCCCACAAGTGTAAGGAATCCTGAACTTGAACGAAACGGACTCTACCCGGCCTACACTGGATTGCCGGGATCGCGGCATTCTTGCATTTTCCCAGGACAATATAACCCGTCTTTCATCAGTGATGAGAGCAGGAGAAGAGACTACTTTTAAGTGAGAAGAGAAAGGAGCCCGTCACACTGAGCAAGTGGCCCGAGACCAGCCGTTGCTGCTCCGAGGACTGCCCCAGGGGGAGCCCTGCCTGCTGGCTGCTCCCCTAACTTGTGCAGCCACACTGGAGTGGCAGGCAGAGACTGGGACAGGTGTGGGGGTCTGGCCACAGCAGAAGGTGACAGATGGAACCTGTGGACATGACACTGCAGGCCGTTCATTTGTTGTTACTGTGAATGTGAACGCGGGCCAGTAGCGGGAGCGTCTCTCTGAGCGACTGCAGCTCGGCTGCCGGCTCCAGGGGTGATGTCGGCTAGAGCAGACAGACCATCAGGCACCACTGTAAGGACCCGGTTTGCCTTAGTTTGCACTTTAGTAAATTGGGTAGAGAGGCCTCCTTTTGGATTTTTTTCAAGACTGTTCCAGAAAGAAGGCCTCTTTTCCCTGGACACTTCCATGGGCCTCAATTTGGTGATTAATTTATAGCAAAATACCAGCTCTTTAGTTGTTTTTCTGCCCACTACCTGTGTGCTAAAGAACCAATGGTGGTGATGAGCACAGCACTGTGGTTTGGTGATGCTGTAAGTTACCGCGCAGCAGTTTAACACGTTGTGCGGCCTGCTCGTCTTGTTTCCAAGCTGAGCCCTAGAAGGAGGAATTGAAACCTGTGAGACACAGTGCACAAATCCAGTTCGTTTTTCAGTCAAGGTGACCCTTGATTTAAGATTATTTTTCCCTTTGCAGTTAAATCTCATTTTTTTCAAATAAGTCTGGGTCAGAGCAAAATAACTTGCATTTGGTTTTAGTTCAAGGCATCCAGCTGCCCCGCAGTGAGACCCAGTGAGCAGCATCGGGAGGGCAATGGGGCTGAGCGAAGGCCCTGGTGGGGGAAGAGTTTGAGGTGCAGGCAGGGGGCGATTCTCATCCCTGCGGGTGTGGCGTGGTGCCTGGGGCTCCACCTTCATGTCTGAGGCTGAGACTGGTACATGAGGAGGAGTGGAAATGGAAAGCTGAGTGCAGGCTGGGCCTGAGCTGGTATTCCACCAGTGCGGGAAAGCAGCTTACGTCAGCCCTACAGCTGAGTGTGGTTAGAGGAATGAGCTGAATAGGCAAGTTCCATTTTCTGAAACACCAGTGCTTCGGGAAGCCGCGCAGACTCCTGGGGAAGAACAGGGAGCTGGGAGGGAGCCGTAGGTAAGTCTGCTCACCTCTGAGGGCCGCCTCTTTGATCTCGTTCACAAACTCAGTATAAACTCTCCACCAACTGCTCAAAGCTATTTATTCACTGAAGAAGTAATTTATTTTCATTCATCCAGTAATTTGTACCTCTGTATACTACTATATATTTTTCTTCAGAAACATGGTTCTAATTCAGGTCAGCGTTGTAGACTAAAGACTGCTGGACAGGCAGGGAGTGAGAGTTTGCCTTCAGGAAGGGAATTTCACGCTTCTTGTGCCTGTGCCATGGGTCCTGCGAGGGGCCATATCCAGTGTGCGGTGTCTTTAACTGCTCCTGTGGAACTCACCGTCTGCCTTTGAAATACCCTGGTTTTGAGTGCAGCGAAGAGAACACAGGTGAAGGAACTGTTCCCACCCTGAAGCTTGGAGCTCAGTAGAACCCATATCCTGGGAAATGGGGTGGAGTTTGGGCATAACTTTGTCCTGGGCATGGCTGTTTCTTCAAGGTTCTCTAACCTCTCCAGAATGTATGTAATCCTTATCCTAACAGTTTTAAGTGCAAACTCCTGTGTCCTGTGGGCTCCACAAGTCATCCCCCTGCTGCAGCAGGAACGAGTCAGGTGTGAGGCCTGTTAGAAGTTCATTTGTGCTCACCTTGGGAGATAGATACAAAGAGAATTCTGTTTTTGTCAGTGGATGCCAACTTTAAATTTCAGAGCGTCACCTTTATGAAATCTTGGGCCTTGCATCTCTGTGGAACCAACCAGCCCATGGTGCCTCATGGCCTCACATCGAACTGGAGAGCTCTAAGCTCCTGCACTCAGCTCACCTGAGCCAGTGGACTTGAGGTTGCCCAGCGTCCTGGCTCTTGATCAGATCCTTGCTCATTTCCAGGACCCAGAGCCCCGGTGGGGGGCTATTCTCAGGCTTACGTGTATCTGCCACCTTTAGCTCATATCGCAGCTGACAGAGCATCTCCTCTCTGGGCCAGAAGCTATAACCTCCCCAAAATGAAGTGTTCTGTCCCAAAGGCATTCTTGAGAAGAATCCCGAAGTCTAGAGAATTCCCTGTGTGCTCCAAGCAAGCATACTGTCCTGTGAATGGGTTTGTGCATATGAAGTGGTTTAAGAATGTTGTTTTACTTTTACTGTGAAAAAAGCAAGCACCCTGCAAGGTTGGGTTCACACACAATCTGCAATTTCTAAGAGGCATCTAGGGGACGGGGAAGTGCATCTCCAGAGAATGAGGGTTCAAGAAGACATGGAATTAGCTTGACTGTCATACAGTGCCAGCTGCCCACCCACCCTGAGTGAGGAAGGGAGAGCCTGCCTTCACTCCCGTTTGGGGTTAGTCCCTCCAGAAGGGTCCTGTCTGCGAAGGGGAAACCCCTGATAGGACAGTTCCCTCTGGACCAAAGGGACAGGACTGGGTGCAACCCTGGCGAACAGAAGCCCTGAGCTTCGGCACATGTGCTCAGTGTCAGCCTCTGCACCTGGAATGCACGCAGAAATGCCACAGTCCTGTGACCTGGGGTGGGGTGGGGCGCAGCTGGGGAAAGGTGGGAAGAAGGGAAAAGTGACAGTTAACTGCCCACAAGACCCTTAAACTTCTGTAGGGAAGAGAGGGGCTGGACAGAAACATCTTTGACCTCGTTGTAAGACCACCTGTCCTGTAGCTTCCCTGAGCAAGGTGACACCTCAGAGCAGGGTAGTGCTCACCCTTTGGCCTTCTAGCATCTGTGGGCTTCCTTAAGCTCTTAAACAAACGTCTTATTTCTTGTGTCTTTGTTGCCCCATGAGCCCCCCAGGGCTCTAGTGACAAAATAGGAAATCTGAATAATGACGCAGCATCTCTGGTGTTCCCACCGTGGCCATGCTCTGTGCCAGGTCCTTGGCCCCTGTGAGGTGGGCATGAGACTGTCCATTTCTTGGACACGGGGAACTGCAGAGAGTACGATTGCCTTGGAGAGCCAGGATTTGAACTCTTGCCTGGGTAGCTCTCCTCACTGCACCCTCCTGCATCACCATCCTTGTACTTCAAATGTCAAAGGTCACCAGAGAGTGGGTTTTAAGTATTTTTTTTTAAAGAGCCATAATGTCATTAAGCAATAACTAAACTAAGGATACGAAGTCCAAAAAAAAGTTGAATCCCCTTTTGAAAAAGCTTTTTCAGGTTTATTATTACACCTGTGTCTTGTGGTCATCATCAGGAAAATAGCAGCTGGCTCATGCTTAGCAAGAAGCACGTTGGTAGGTGGCGTTGGGTGCAGGAGTGTGAGGTGATGAGCTGGGTTTGGCAGGCACAGCCAGACTTGGATATCCGTTCGATTTGCCTTGTTCCCGTGGTAAGGCCATGGCATGACTCCCACATATTGGAAGCATATTTTTGTGAATATTATCAGAGTTGGGAACATATTCATTGGAATGTCTTAAATGCTGACAAATCTTCCTCCTCTGACAAAAGTTTGTTTTCAGAAGTAGCTGTCATTTTGGACATCATTTAGAGCCCAGATTGCTGAGTGGATAGTGTAACCAAGATGGCTGATAGGATTGTGGTCAAAAATGAAGATGTGATTATTAAATTCCTGAAGAGGTAACTGGTAAAGTTGGCCCAAAAGGGAAGGCAGCATCTTTTCAATACAAGGCTAGATGGCTGCCCAAGAAAATGTCTTGGAAGGACGTCACTTATTCTTACGTGAAAGCTCCTGGAGCAGACACAGTTGGGTCCTGCGTGTGGCTTTTTGGGGGCCCTCCATTAAGCCATCTGACCCACTGGTGAAGGGCCCGGGTGCCCTGGAGCTCTATGAACCTGGGCTGGAGAAGCTAGAGTTGTACAGTCCCGTTGCTCCTGGCTTCGTTTAGCCAAACATGCCCAAAGCCTGGTTTGACCCATCGTTCAAGATACACTGATTTCAAAACTAAAGCAAGTCTTTGGAGAGAGGAAGAATTTCAATATTTTGCATCTTATTTAAAAGTACCCTTAATATCAGGGATATTTTTCTATGTAAAAACTTGTGGGGATTAGAAGGGATATTTTATTGCATTCTGAGGTTCTTATGTATGTTTTTGAAAAAAGGTGTGTGGTTTTGTAGAGTTGGCTTTTGATTACGATGTGTGTTGTTCTACTTGTTCTTTTCTCCAATCCCCCGAGAAGGAAACTGGTTAAAATACTAGGAACATTAAAGTATTAAAAACATCAGTTAATTTGTTGTACTAAAACATCTTTTCGATAGTGTTATAATCTACTCTGGTTGGTGTCAGCTGCTCACAGAAAAGCCTGTGAAGACAAAGGCGACAGTTTAGGTCTGAAAAGAGATAGAGCTTAGACTGGCTCTGTCTCCTTGGCATTAGATTCTGGTTTTTGAAGAGGACACTTTAGCTTCTGGTTTTATTTTTTATTTTTCTGGACACATCTAAGGCATTTCAGTTACAGAATTATTGGGTAGGAAGGATGGGACCACACGGGGATGGGACGGAACCAGCCGACCTGGGAAACTAACCTGACCCACTGACCTTCCTGTATTACCTTTTGGTCTGTTTCTTTAAAAAAAGAGGAGGATTGTCTTTCAACATGGGTTGTTGTATGTTCTCTTAATGTTTGTGTTGTTGGATTTACAGTTAAATGAAACATGTGGTTGGAATATGAATTTTTTGAGTTTCCACATCCTAGATGTCTCTTTGCAAACCTTTATACCTTAGCCCCTGGTTGATTGCGTTAAATCCACTATGAGAATGTTATTTAAAGTTGTATTATAATTGCAACCTCCACTAAATATTCAGTACTGTAGCAGCAAAGTATTATTTGTAAGAATATGGTTATTTTTATACCCACTATAAGTCTGGCGTTCTAGTCAGTAAAATGATGCAATAAAATAAATATCATTTTCATTGTGTGTTTTTCTTGTGAAAATAAGCAAACGAGACAGTGCAGCAACTTGCATTTCGTGAGGGAAGCACATGCACCCACCGCACTGTTCACCGTGAGCCCTTCCCGGTCAGCTCGGACCTGGCAATGTCGGACCGAGGGCTTCTGTATCATCACTGCCCAGCACAGTGAGGAGATATACTTTTTGATGAGGGAGAGGTGGACAGACAGATTGACCTGAGTGATAAAAAGCCTAATTCAGGTGTAACAACTGCTTTTGTTCACTTTTCTTTCTGTGGATTGAGAGAATAAGGAACCATTTCAGACACTGAGAATTTCCACCCGAACACCTCCCACTCCCAGCCAATTCTTTGAGTGAGTATACCTGTGCTCTGCAATGAAGAGAATCTGTGGACTTTGAAGGTGGCAGGTTGTGGGCCTTATATTCACGGTGGCCCTCGAAGGTGTCTGCCTGGCTAGATGCATGTTAATCAGTTGCTTCCCCAGGGTCCTCTTGGGGCAGGGATGGATGAACTCTGCAGCTCTGTAACAAACCTTGGCCACCGAGGCCAGTGGTGGCAGCCTCGGGCACAAAGGTGACCTTTGGGCAGATGAGGTCAGGACTGCAGCCCGTGAGACATCTCTGAGTGGAGAGGACGGGCAGCTCTCCTCTACGAACCCAGCCCTCCCACCCAGCTTTCCAGGTAATCTCACCTGAGTTCTTAACAGAAGCCTAGTACTTATGCCTTCACTGTCCTGTCCAGCTCAGCCAGACATTATAAACATCACAGATGCCAGGAGATAAAGGTATTTGTGGTGCCTGTTATTGGCCTCATACAAACACGCAGTCGGGAGGCCTGGCCTTTGGCAGCTGGTACAAGACACTTTTCTAACAACGTCACAGTTTTCTGACATTGTGATGTCAGGCCTTAGGGTCTGTCTGCTCAGCTCTCTGAGCCTCAGCATCCTGGCCAGTGAAGTGGGGATAATAATTACTGCCCCCCAAAGTTGTGAGGATTAAAGGGGAGAATTCACATGAAAACATTCCATAAAATACAAAGAAACATAACACATACTGATCCTCTCCAATAGGGCCCTCCTGTCACCAAAGACAATTGTAGGGTTAATATGGCATTTCAATGCTGATTCACTAGTAACCGGTCCTGAAGACCTTGGTCTTGATTTAACTTCTTGGAAATCAGTGCTCATGTTACTGAATGGGGACTGGACTCGGAGCAAGTCTGCCTTGGGCTGGCCTGCAGTGTGTGGGTTCTTGACTTCATGCAGGAAAGAGCTCACAAGTCCAGTTGATTTTGAAAGTATGTTTATTAAAGCTGGGGACGGTGAAAGGAAGGAAGGGCTTAGGAGAAAGGCAAACTGGAGAGAGCCTAGGCTGCTTTGGCTCTCTAGGAATGTTATGGGAAAGAAATGAGGCTGGGCAGCTGCTTTGGCTCAGTAGAAATAAAAGTCACAGTGACAGAAGTGAGCCAAGGCAGGGCTGCTATTAAACACTGACTGGAAAGTCAAAGAAAAAGGGAGCTTTGGAGACTGGATCGGGGAGGTGAACCCAGACAGGCTGCCACTGCCTGCTGCTCCCCTGGCTGCAAGTCTCATGGGGACCCTTGGTGTTTACGAGAACGAAAGCAGAGGCACACGCCTAAGGGAGAAAGACATGGGTGTGCTCTCAAAAGAGCACATGCCGTCTAGGCTTTTTATCTTGCTTTAGTAGATGAGAGTCTTGGGGGAGGTCTCAGGGGAGGATCTTAACAGAATAATTCATTTGCTTTCCAGGTGTGTCCTTCAATATGTTGATTCATTAAATATACATATAGAGGGTCAGGGTTATTGTCTGGTTAGTTTCGTTTTCAAGGAATATCATCTGGTTAGTTTCGTTTTCAAGGAATATCATCTGGTTAGTTTCGTTTTCAAGGAGCTCATGGGGCAGGAGATTCATTACCTGGCTGTAAATTGCTCAAATTGTTTGGGCTTCTTTAATCATTTTGTCTCAGTTTCCCCTACTCCACTGGCCAAGCAATTCCTTAGCTTCTTATCTTGCCTCAGTGATAGAAGGCAGGATTATCAACCGTAGGTATGGACCTGGGCACAATAAGAAATAGCCTGAACAGAAGCAGTGTACCCGGGGTTTTCCAGGAGGATGGCTCCAGGAGAAGGAAGGTGTAGGGGAACCTGTCCAGTTGCAGCGTACGTGTGCCAGCATCATCCTTGTGGGAAGCAGCAGTACTAAAGTTAAAACTAATTCCAGTGGAGAAGAGCTATGCTTCAGGACATTAGAGAGGAGAATTTTTCCTTTAAAAAAATACTAAATACAGCTCTAACCGGCATGGCTTCATTGGTTGAATGTCCTCCTGCAAAGCAAAAGATCATCATTTCGATTCCTTGTCCAGGCATGTGCCTGGGTTTGGCCCAGTCCTGATCAATGTTTCTCTCCCTCCCTTCCTTTCTCCCTTTCCACTCTCTAAAAATAAATAAGTGAAATCTTTTTTAAGAGTTTTTTTTTTTAATATTAAGTACAAATTCAAATAACACTAGGAAACACAAAATACAGAATCCCAGAATCTCAGGTTTAGAAGAGATCTCAGCCATTGTTTATTCCAACCATCCTTAATAAGTACTTCAATTCCCCCTCAGCTGAGTAGTCCCAGGAACAGGGGGCTCATCTGCTTTGAGGAAGTCCCTTGCTTATCTCAATAATTCCAAGTACTAGAAAGTTCTTTCCTACTTTCAACCCAGTTATTTCCTCCTTGTACGAGAGTCCTCTTAGAAGAGGTAAGCAGCTTGAAGGGAGTAGAAGTACTGGATTTAGGTTAGGGCTCTATAGGGACAGATTTGAGCAGAGCTAAACAGGAGAGAGGAGAGGTAAAGCTGGGACAGAGAGTCTGTGTGAAGGCAGCAGGTTCCAGGTGCAGACAGATGCCAGTGACAGGGGACACAGCTTCTTATGCTCTGGATGAGCCACAAGCAGCTTCCCAGGGACACTAAAAAAATCTGGGAGGAGAAAGAGGTTTTTCCCACCTCTGCCACCTTCTCCCCAGCCATCCCTGTGAGCATGGTTGGGAGAATGGCAGAGGCCGACAAGGTAGTGGGACAGGACAGATGGACAGATGGCCCTGGCCACTCATGTAGATTTCCTGCATTCACATCCCACATCCTAGCTCTGTGACCCTGAGCAAGTCCTTTTTACTCTCTCTTTTTAATTCCTCAGATGTAATAATGTAAAATGTACCTCTTAGAGTTGTCATGCAAGTTATATAAGTCAATATGTTTAAAACACTCACACCAGTGCTTTACATATAGTAAGTGCTGTGTATTCGTTAAACATAAAACATTTTGAAGTTCATACTAAATGAATTATTGACCCACAACTTGGGTTTCATGGTTTATACAGCCAGTTTCACATGCTCTCATGTTTTTTTTTTAAATTATATTCCTAACAACCTCCTAAACTCTGAAACAACTTGCAGATCACATTATGGAATTGGCATTATAACGAAAATTGCTAAAAGAGTAAATTTTAAAAGTTCTCATCACCAGAAAAAAATGTTTTATAACTGTGAGGATATGGATATTAACTAAATTTATTTTGGCAATCATTTCACAATATAAACATCTATCATTTAGGTATATGTTGTATACCTAAAACTAATACAATGGTACATATCAAGTATATAACACTTGGGGGGAAAATAAAGACAAGGTCTTCTCCTGAAAGAGGAAGAAAACAGGTGACAAGGGTTGAAAGGAAGAGGGAACATCTGAAATGGCTGAGGAGCAACACGGGAGGAAGCTGATTCAGAACACGAAGTAGCCTTGAACACAGGTGGAGAACAGCAGGCTTTGTGGTAGAAGCAATCCCCACATAAAAGCATCTTACTCTGGTGCTGGCCGGTGTGGCTCAGCTGGTTGGAGCATCGTCCTATGCACCAGAAGTTCGCAGGTTCAATTCCCAGTCAGGGTACATACCCACATTATGAGTTGGTCCCCAATTGGGGTGTGTGTGGGAGGCAACCAATTCATGTTTCTCTCTCTTTCTCATCAACAGATGTATTCTTAGGAGAGGATTTAAAAATAATAATAATAATATATTTTTAAAAATTCATTTTACTCTAGCAGAGCTCAGCAGTGGGCAGTAGAGTAGAGAAAGAGCCAACAGGTTGACCCAGGATTGAGGTCTGTTTGGTTGGTGGCACCAGAATGGGAGGGCACTGGCTGGAGACTTCACCTTGAGCCTGTGCGTCTGCACTTAGAAGAGGGCTAGGTGAAAATGAAGGGCCAACAAAGATTACTGTCTTCAATCTATCAAATACCTAAACATCTCATCTACTTCAACTAGAATATTATGAATAATGTTCTTCCCTTAAAACAAAAGACAAAAATCAGGAAGAGGAAATACAAATAATCTAACAAATATATGGAGAAGGGTCAGTCTCACTAGTGGTCAACTAAATGAGAATTTAAACACTGAGGTATCCTTTTTTACCTATCATGGAAGAAAAAAAATGCCTACTTTTTAAAAATGAAAATACTTCATGCTGATGGAGGAGAGAACAACTATAGGGGAGTAAATTGATATAAATCTTTAAGAAGATAATTAGGCAATGATTTCTACAAGGCTTAAAAAATTCTCAACACTTTAATTAGTACTTTCAATCCATGGAATTTATACTAAGGAAACAATGCACACAAAAACAAAAAATGAGAGAGGCACACCGTTCTCACTCCATTGACCCCCAGCAAGCACTATGCTTGTATTCAAAGAACTAAGTCAGGTTAACCTTAAGGAATAAGAGCACTTTGAGACCCGAGGCTCTCTGTCACCTACCTGATAGCATCCCAATAAAGCAAACTTTCTCAGTTTACTTCTCTACAGAGGCAGGTAAGCCAAAAGATGCCCCCAACCCTAACTAACTTCATTGCTGTTGATTCCTACTTTTCTATAATTCTTAAGTTTCTATTAGCCCCCTGGTTATTATCACTCACTAGATGGAACTCCTCAAGAACAGGA